TCCCAAGATTATGTTGTAAGTGGAAGGGACCTTTAACACCCAAAACTCCACTTGTTTTGTCATGCTTCCTGCCCTGATTGGAAGGATAATCTTGCCGACTGGCCACTCTGGCATTGAGTTGAATCCGATCAGGGGGGACACAGCTGGTGCCAAGTCTTTGTCTTCCAATTTCAGTTGTTTGAAGGTGTCGTAGTACATTATCTCACATAAGCTCCCTTGGTCAATCAAAATCCGCTTGACGTCGAAATTCTTGACTCGGAGAGTGATGACCAGTGCATCATTGTGAAGGCAGTATATCCTTGCCAAGTCTCTATCTGAAAAAGATATGACGTTCGTGGTTTCTGTTTTCCCCTTTTTAATGGTAGGTTGGGCACTCAATACCTCTCTTAAGTGCTCAGCCTTTTTGATCGATCCTCTGAGCTCGCATACACGCTCAGGTTCGAATACTCCATGTATCACATTGATCACACCTTGAGGTAGGGCGTCAATTGGCATTCCATTGGGGTTATTGTGGTCCTGGGGGGCTGGTTGTGTCCCTCCTTCAATGTATTTATCCAGGTGACCGGCTGCCACCAACTCCTCCAGATGCTGTCTCAATGGCATACAATTTTCAGTGCGGTGCCCCTTTTCTTTGTGGAAGGTGCATCGCGACCTTTCATCGTAGTCTTTCTGTGCTTCTCCTAGCTTAGCTGGCCATCTGACGAAAGGCTCATCGCATATTTCGCTCAGAATCTGATAGATCGGTTTCTTGAATACCGTGGTTATGGCAGTACGGACTCTCAACCATCTTTTATCCTGGTCCTCTCCGTTGTCTCGCCTGCCGCATCCGTTTTTGTTTGGACGTTCTACCGCGTTGACCTTTGTCGCGGTCTTTTTATTTGGTACTGCGGTCGTGCTAGACTTTGCCTTAGCACAGGCACCATCTTCTTCTACCCGACTGTGTTGGTGCACCCTCTCCATTAAGGCCTCCATCGTGAGAGGCGGTGTCATAGTGATTGAGTCCCTTAGTCTGTTCCCGACTGGAAGGCCTCTTTTGTATTGTGCGATAGCGAGATTGGTGGGGCAGTCCCTAATCTGGTTGAAGGTCTCCCAGTAGTGGCTATTGTAGGATTTTAATGACTCTTTTTCGCCCATGTCGATGGAGAGCAGTTGATCAATTTCCACCGGGGTTTTGGTGTTAGTTCTGAACCTTGTTACGAATGCCTCCGCCAATTGTGCCCAGGAGGCTATGCTGCCTTCTGGAATTTTTTTGAACCAAGTCAAGACTAGGTCACCAAGGCTTGATGGGAAGAGGATGCACATCAAAGCCTCGTTTCGTCGATATACCGCCATAACCTGGCGGAAGTGGCTTAGGTGCATGTAAAGGTCTGTCTTCCTTTCGTACGTGGTAAATTTAGGCTGGATGAAGCCTGAGGGTAATGACGCATTCTCAATCGTGGGAACGAACGGCGAACTATGTAGTCTTGCCAATGTTTTATCTGTTAGTTCGTAGGCAAGGTGTGGTGCTGGCATTCCAACCTCGACGCTTCCATGCGTCTGAGGAGCCAACCACCGAAGAGTTGAAATTCTGTGTGGGTCGCGTGCCCTAGCATCCTCCTTCTGTCGCGCCCTTTCTTCAAGCACAGTCCGTAAGTCGGACGATCTAGGCAACTCCGTTTGCCTGGATGATATATGGTGCGTGTGTGAGGGCCGATAGGTACTTTCCTCTGTGTAAGACCTTAATGATCTCATTCTCTCAGACCTAGAGTAACGAGTTCTGGAAGTCCTTGATTGAGTGTTGCTCGTCCGGAGGCTTCTATTCTCTGCTTGCGATGTCATGGTGTGCCTACTACGATCTTTTGAGTGGCGAGGAGGCGCATTGCCTTTGCACCCCTCTCCTATCGTCACCCCTTTTCCCTTGATCTGGTGCTTCATGGCTTCCATGTCTGCTGCCATCTTCCTTATTAATTCATCTTGCTCCTTCACGCGGTCCTCCAGAGCTTGAGGATCAATCCTCCGTCTTTGTCTGTCAGGACTTCGTGAACGAGAGTGACGGGGGCTGTTAGTCCGCCTCCTCCCCCTAGCATCCCTCTTGGGATTTTGTCGCTGTGGCTCCAAGTCCGCCATGGGAGGGATAGAAGGTAGGCCTTCGCGCCTTGCACCCCCCTCTGGTGTTTGTCCGTCGATGGCGGACTGCGGCAAATCTTCATTGTGTGCCATTGCTTCTAAGGAGGAAAAACTTGATCAAGAGGTTTTGTTCTAGTCTGATATTCCCACAGACGGCGCCAATTGTACGGGCACGAAATATTCTTCCCGTGTAGTCCTGTTGATCAAGTCTGCGCTCCTCTATACGACGTCGCTTTATCCCCTGAAAATACAACGTGAGCTAGCCGGCGGGTGTGTGCCGGATACCTCTCTGATGCCTAAGTCAGTAAAATAGACAAATAGGCAAAAAGCTCTGTATGTTCAGGAATCAAAGTTGTGTGTGTTACCTCTCCAAAGGTGATATTGTAAGCTTTTACAGGTTCCGCGTGGCATAATCCTAGTAGGACTCTTACTCCTCCATGTAGAGTCCTCCTTAGATTCACACTACTGAAAGATAATACTTATCCTTCAACACCCCCCTCACTGCTTAAACCAAGTGAGATGGTTTTTCCATGGTCGGACTCCAATATGACCGAGGTAAGCATAGCTATGCTAAGCCGCAGATCAGACCGGGATAACTCTACCTCGGTTCCTCCTGTACAAACCACAGCATGATTGGACCGAGCTAACAATTAGCATGGTTCCGACCGATCTAATACTACTGCGCCATGACCGGTATAACTTTTAGTATGGTGACCGAGCTAACCGTAGCTCTTTGGGACCGGAATAACTTCAAGCCTCATTTGGACCGGAATAACTTCATGGCCATTTTACTCAGTCCTTCGTATTGTGGCCCATAACGGCCCATTGCCCAGCTTGGCCCAATTTTCTTATAAATTACCCTCTCAATCATCAACTGGGGAAAAAAAAAAATCATCTGAATGTCTTCCTTCATCCCTTTCGGGCATAATAGTATTTTTGGATTGCTTCTGAACTCAAAGATTCAACAAAGTTGAGGTCCGAGCTTAAAAAAATTGATATTTTTTAATACAAAGGCCAAGTTTGGCAATCTAAAAATAATTTATTTTTTTATCTTTTTATCTTTTTGTCATCACATCACCTCTCTACTTTTTTGCACATCTTTTCGTAAAAAGACAAAAAGTGCACTTATTTAGGTCATTCCAAACAACTCCAAAATTTCTATATATAATAGTACGAAACAAAAATTTGTCAGTTGCATTCATAATTTCAAAAATATTACTACCAAATCATTTTAAACAGATTTATGTATGAATATTGTGGTTTGTGTATCATTTTGTTTTGGAGAAAGGTAAGTGAAAACTGAAAACCATTAATGCGTCCTTCAAAAGCAAACTTTGAACTAGTACAAAACTACAAATACAAAATGGCTCATTATAGAGGATTTGCCGAGGCTATGTTTGGCTGTTAGATTTTTCAAGGGAAAAGAAAATGTAAAAAAAAAAAATGAAATTATGTATACATATTCATTTATTTTATAGGTAATTAAACAGAAAAATAATTTTTCCTTCGTGTTTATACATATTGAATTTCTTCTTTTGCCAAAACAATTGTAGAGTCATCATCCAAAAAAACCTGTGTAAATATGTAAGTAGGCATTTAACAGCGTGAACAAACCACATACAAGGGAAAATAGACACACAAGCATGATTATAAAACTCACATATGGACGCACACGCGCGACATGAGAGAGAGAGAGACCTGAGTGAAGCCATTGGGATTGAAGGGGATGATTATGGCTGTCCCACCACCATGAACAGGAAGAAGCATGCTCGCTGCAATCCTCATTCTCCATTAAATATTGATCTCAGAATCAGTAGTATATGAATATTTGGGTCTTTTTCGAAAAGTTTGAAGTAAACCTTTTACCACACAGCACATGCAATCAACGGTAAGGTTGGCAATTGTGACTTATTACGACTTGCATACTCCAAAGTCCATCTCCCTGTTTGGAATAATAACCCATCTTTGGAATTTCAGAAAAAATCACTCTATTTAGGACAGCTTGCTAACCAATTACTGATTTTTTGGGATTCCAAATATCTTCTCTTTTTAAATTTTGAGAATTTATGGTAAACTAAGTGTGTGGTTATTATAGTATTACTATTTGAAATTTCATATTTGCATAACAATTTTTTTTCTTCTTTTTTTTTTTGGAACTAAATATTATAAGATATATAAGGGAATATTATATGGTTGTAAATTTCCAAAACCAAGATTGCTTCTATGTGAGAGCATAACTTTTAGGAAAAATTATGTAAATAGTCTATGTACTTTTCATTAAACTTTACATTAAGTGTCAATTTGGTCTTTGTAATTTTAATTTGTTCGATTTTTTCCTTTAATTTAACAAATTATGTCATTTTAATCAAATAATAACGGTTGTTAAGTTAATTTAACGAAAAATCAAACAATGTATCAATTTAATTTCTGTATTTTTCACAATGTGTCAATTTAATTCCTGTTAAAATTGGAAAAATTGAACCTACAAGGATTAAATTGACACACCGTGTAAAATACAGGGACAAAATTAATACATTATTTGACATTCCGTTAATTTAATCACCGTTATTTATTGAATTAAAATGACATAATCCGTTAAATTAAGAAACAAAAATCAAGCAAATTGAAACTACAACGACCAAATTGACACATAGTGTTAAATCCAAGAACCATTTGCATAATTTACCCCAACTTTTAATTTCGAAGAAAGGTAGGCAAAATGAGATAATTGGTGAATGAAAATAGGCGTAATGTGCATGTTGGTTGTCTGAAAATAGGAGTTATGCGAACACAAGACACAAAAGTCAGCAATGACAAGTTGTCTGTGGATAATGACTCGAAAAAAAAAATTATAAAAAAGAAGACGACGTAAAAAAATTATTAAAAAATGCTCATGAAATAATAATTGATCACGTGACACAAACAAAAATTGAAATTAGCTCTTCCCCTTTCCTCGTAATATAATCTACATAGAACTTCTGTTTACAGAATAGTTTCCCTCCTTCATCTGAGGAGGGTAAACGGTGTCAAATACAATCCTTGCGAACATATGTCGGACTTCATGAAGTCTTCCCAATGCTAAAGACTCGTAATCAATCTTACTCCCTCTTTTTGGTACAAATCCTTTTTCTTTGCCTCTTCTAACACACTCAAATATCGTGCTTACCTTTAATGACAATGCCAATGATATAAAAACCTGAAAATTTTAACAAAAAATAGTAAGTCTGTTCATCATCTAACCTTCAAAGAAACTAAAATGATTCGAAAAAGAGAAGAAAACTTTATGAAACCATCATCAGCAACTTTAGAATGATGATTGACAAACAATAAAGACATGTATGAATGTATGATATATTCGTATGAAAGCGATAGAGAACATGCAGTGTGTAATGTCAGGCTTGTGGAATTGATAGTCTATTTAATGACAAAACTGAATTCTTTTGGAGTTCATTTTCAGCACCCTTTAGTTTACTCTGAAAATCTTGCAGATAAACTTTTGAGGTTTTATAAATTTGTTAAACAATACATGAATCAATAATACAATTCTTTATTTCTCTTTATACATTAAATTTCTACAAAATTCATAATTTACAAGTCAAAAGTTATTCCAACTGAGAAGGCACGTCCAAATGAATCATATTCTTCTACTCATTGAATGAAGTTGCCCAAGTAAAAGGGCAACAAATGGAAAAGACGTGAGTAAACAATTTCATTTTACGTGATAGGTTAAATGGGAAGCCAAAAATTAGCAGTCCTCAGTAAAATGATTTAGCTTTAAAAAAAATGCTAACTAGAGTCGGATACTCACCAAATCTGAGTGTGGTGCCTGTGGATATTCGATCATTGCGCGGGAAACAAAATGCTCGTCTGTCATCTTGCACAATGCAGTTTTCACTGATATTGCAAGATCCATGACCTCATTGATCAAGGCATCATCTGAGTCTATACTTCCAGGTTCTAATAATTCATCATAGGTCATGTCATGTGGCTGGGAGATCCTTCTTGCAATCTTTATTGCTTCTAATATAGACCCACCACTATGTACAGCAATGCTAAATGCAGCAACCACCAAAGGATCCTGCGGATGGTCTACTAGAGCTTTATGAAATGCTAAGACACCAATCCTGCCAATATGAGGTTGTGCTTAATTTCTATATCCATGTAATTCACAGTTCAGATGTACAGAAATATATTATATTTCAGCTCACTAAATACAGGCCAAAAGTTTAGGTACTAGTCAGCCCCTGGAAAGATATACGAGAGTGCCCATTGATCTGTGCAAAATGATAATTACATTTGAACAAGTGCATAGATTTATAATGGATTGAAAAAGGGCCAAAACGATCAAAAGAGACAAAACAGAATTAACAAACATAGCTGATTGTTTGGCTAGAATGTGTGCCAAAATATTTTCCACCATTCATCTATCAACAACGTCCTCTCCAAAATGCTTTGTGAGCATGCATGCAAACATTGTAGCTACTGTCTAACAATCCTCTGATCTCATTCTTTACCTACCGTTCTTTGATCCACTATACTTTCCCTTCCCAGTATAAACCCAAAGGGCTGGTCATGGACAATGGCTGACAAGCAGCAAAGAGTTAGGAGTCTTGATCCAAACAATACAACCAGCTTTCTAGTCCAACATTATGAAACATTATGGTTTATGTTTCTATATAGGCATTCAAGAGCTTCGAATCTCCTAAAGGGGTCATGATTACTTTCTTGTCTCCTGCTTGCCATGTGTACTTTAGTTTATCATAGGACCTATTGGATAATAAATTCATCTATTAGGACCTATACGTAAGTTTCCCTATTATTTATATTATTTATTACAAAACAAGGTAGCATGGATATGAATTTTTTTTCTTATTAAGACAATCAATAACAATTAGAAAGTAAGAGTTTAACTTCAATCCACTAGTGCAATGAAAACATCAGCATAGAAATTCAAACAAAAAATGCTACATAATCCCATATCAAAACACAACCATGAAAAGTTGCAGCTAACAGTATATTGTAGCTTGAGAAATTTGACATTTAATTTTTTTTTTTGGTTTCATTTTTTCTACGAAAAATATTCTGATACTTAAATTTTGGCAGATGAAAAGATTGCAACAGCTACAAAAATTGCTCACCATAAGCTGCAATGGCATGGCCGGTCAGGTGCCAAAAGTTTGTCCAGGCTAGAAAACATTGACTGCAGAACAACAAAACCAGGAATAACTTAAACATGATGTGACTTGATATTAAAGCAAAAGCCCAAAGGTAACAAGATTATCATTAAACGTTTGTGTGACTAGCGGATAACTAATGAAATCTCAAAAGATCACATAAGGTGGCAACAGAACACAGCACCACGGACAAAAACATCATTGTTAGACAGTATATATGATTCAAATTTTAACTTGCCACTATTTGGTAGTTTATTATTATACAATAAAAAAATAAATAAAAAAACATGAGTAAGTGGAAATCACAGATTGATACTAATTAAATGTGTAGTCAAATTAGTATGTACTGATCTTACCAGAAGCATGTTAGATCTTGTGTCACGCCTCCGAAAACCTTGGGAAACAAAATATGCTGCCTGTATAATGCATGCAACAATACCATATCATTTACATGATCTACTTGAGAAAATGTTTCGTGGATAACTCCGTCAGCAAGAGAAGGGAATCCATACTTGTACGGGTAGAAGTATCTCCAGAAGTCCAAATTTCCACAACAACCTCAAAGAGGGTTCTGCAGATCCATATGCCAGCATATAATTCATTTCCATGAGAATCCTTCCCTACAGCATATGAAGTTTGCAAGAAAATTCCATGCTAATGAAGTAAAAAATTAAATTATTTGACTAGGACCTGAACTTTTGATACCTTGTCCAGTCTCAGCACTGAAGAAGATAATTCTCTTACATAATGAGCTGTTTCTCTGGTAAAACGAAACCCTAAACGAGCAGCGATTCTCAGCCCACGTAAAATTCGAGCTGTAGAATTACTGAATAGAGGTTAGACACCGACACCTCCTTAATGCGGTTTGGATGCTTGCATTTTTAGCTGATATTGAGAGAGAGAGAGACTCACCACAATCCTCCACAAAAGAAGTACTTGCAGGAATAACACTTCGCACCTATGAATAAACAGTTGATAAATGAGCATTGATGCACTATGTACATGTCTAGAGTGATTCTTGAAACTGAAACCATAAGAAATACATGCATACTTTAGCTTTCTTAATATCTTCTATTCCACCCATATAGTCATACACAACTTTGGCAAATGGATCAAACATCAATCTACAAAAGTAAAGAGAGTGTGTTAATAAGATGTAAACATATGTGATATTTATTATGGAGCATTCACAAGAAGGTTTATTAAACAAAATGGCAGTGACTCAAAAGAAAATGCATTTATGTAACTATGATTGTTCCAACTTCCAGTCTGCAAGTGTCAAGAACATTACCCATTAATCGTAAAGTCCCTGTGTAAACAATTTCTCCACCGAATAAAATCACCCTCATTGCAACCACGAGGCTTTTTGAGGCCATAATTCGAATTCTTTTCAAACTTCCTTCCGGCGGTGCTAAAACTTGAAACCTATTTCATAAAGGATTTTTTGAGAGAAAGGGAAAAGAGGGGGGGAAGAAACATGAAGATTGAATATATTGCACACTTTGACCAAAACCATCATTTGACTTACATTCACTGTGCATCTACATAACCTAATTAAGTTTGGTAATTAAACAAAGGGGTACATCTACATTAACTGAAAAACAGACCTCAACAATTGTATCATCTACATGCACATGGCATATGGGAAACCGCTTTCCAACTACTTCACATTGTGGAAATGTTCTTAGTACCTGCAAATTGTGAACCAGATTTAGGCTGAATAATTTAAAGTCCACGGTTATGAAACAACAACTCTTCAGTGCCTGCAAATGATTTGACCATGTGACAAAATATAAATAAAATCATCAGGTAGTAAACTCTTAGCCGTCATGAACTGTGTTCAAACTCAAGCATTCTAAGAAGTTCCACCTAGTTGCAACTATTTTAACATTTCAAAGAATAACTAAACTACATATACCAAATAGATATTTGAAGTAATTGCAACTATTTTAGTTACAAAGTCTTTGAAGGCTTAACCTAACTATAAATTCTGCACGGTAATGTGTATCTATACAAACAAAGGTGATGGTGAGGTGCTCTGACTGGAAGTAAATAACTGTAAAGCTAAAGTTATAAACAAGATAAACTATCTAATGATAATGTGGAGGAAATTGGGTGGGAAAAAACCAAAACTCTATATATAACCAGTAGATTTTGCATATTGATTTAAGATATTCTGGGCCCTGACATCTTAAATACTATAGCATATTGTTACCATCATCGTAGTTACAAAAAGATCATTACTCCAAAAATAAAAAAATAAAAAAATAATGAATATGAGAATTATGAAAAGAAAGAACAAGAATATATAAGGTGAAACCTCCTTAAGTTCAGCTGACGTTATAATGTCAAAATCTTTAGGAATTCGCTTTAGGATAAGATCCCGGACACATCCTCCAACAAGGTAGACTTGATATCCTACAATTGAAAGCATTGTTTTCATATCGAAGGGAATTTTAAAATAATGTAAGGTATGGAAGACCAAATAAAAAAACACTTGTACTTGACAATGAGTGCTTTGCAGGGCATAACCAAAGCAGTAATTTTGAAATAGTATTTACAAGAAATGATAGTTCCAAATTTTGTTTTTGATACTTTAACCATCAACATCAGCTTCGGTTAGAGAGTAGGCTACAATACAAACAGCTTAATGCAAAAAGGTAGGTAAACATTGCTACCTTTTTTCCTCAGCCCATTTAAAACCAATCTTGTTGGCTTCCCAATCATGGACGTCCTGATTCCGAGATCTTTCGAACTCAATTTCTTCCATTCAGGCGCATTGCAATCACCATTACCTGATTCACACACCACACATACAATTCAAATCAAAAGGAGAAGCAAAGCCACTCTCCAAACTCAACATTCACAAGCAATCAAGCAAAAAACAACTTTGACTTACTCTTTCCATGCGAATGCTTTGGAAGTTGGCTTTCTTCGTTGGTAACACCCTCTGATTCAACTACTGACTCGACCCCTGCAACAGAGCTACTATGCCGAACCTGCAGATAAAGTAAACTCTCAAAAACAAGAAGAAATATTGAGAGTCGTAAAGAAAGTTGAGTAACACAAAAGAAACCTTTCGAAAGCAATAAACGAGATGCCGACTGAATGTGAGTTGGCTTCTACAAGCAAAAGCCTGAACAGCGATCGCCATGTATCCAAAAGGTTACATCACCACCATTTCATATTATACCAATTCTGGAAAAAAGTTTTAGGGTTTTCTTTTGTCTTGTACTACTATACTTCTTCTGAGAAGTGTCTGTGTGAACACGAATAATGGAACTCCAAGAAAGAGAAGATGATGATGATGAATATCCTATTCGTACTCATTCGATGGACCCAAGATATTTCGGCCCAAGCATTAGCAGGAGGCCCCAATTGAATTGGGTCATTTACAGCCCGATGGATCAACATTATCTTACTAACGCGCACACACACTTTGGGACAATTTGACAACTTACATTTACAACTTATATTAAAAAAGAGATAAATTACTTTGTTTGACAACTTATATTAAAAATGGGATAAATTAGATTAACACCTTTTGAGGTTTGGGTTTAATACAGTGTATCCTTGGCATTTGAAAAATTATACTAATTCTCATGTCATTGTAATTATTTAGACGGAATGAAGACATTAAATTCATATACTTTTTTTTTTTTTTTTTTACTTTGTTTTATTTTTTCTTTTTTTTCCCTTTTCTTTATTATTATTATTTTTAATGTAATTTTTTTTTATTTTTCTATTAACTTTTTATACAAATAGAATAGTTTATAAAATAAAATTATTAACCAAAAGAGTAGAAATATAATTTCCAAAACATGAAAAGTAGGTAATAATTAGACCCAACTGCAAGAGTTGTCAATGTAATTTATCCTTAAAAATAAATAAATAAATAAAAAATACAAATCAATTTTTAATCAAATTTTCAGAACTCCAGTGACTGGTTTCGCTCACTTGTTATTACTAGTACTCCTACTTCTGAATCAAAAGTCAACTGAGCAGCATAATGGCAGAATTGCACGCACCGGAACGTGGCCCAATTAACGCCGCCACAACCTCACCGGCGACAACCGCCACAACGTACATTTACAACTTATATTAAAAAAGGGATAAATTACTTTGTTTGACAACTTATATTAAAAAAGGGATAAATTACATTAACACCCTCTGAGGTTTGGGTTTAATACAGTGCATCCTTGGCATTTGAAAAATTATACTAATTCTCATGTCATTGTAATTATTTAGACGGAATGAAGACATTAAACTCATATACTTTTTTTTTTTTTACTTTTTTTTATTTTTTCTTTTTGTTTCCTTTTTTTTATTATTATTATTTTTAATGTAATTTTTTTTTATTTTTCTATTAACTTTTTATACAAATAGAATAGTTTATAAAATAAAATTATTAACCAAAAGAGTAGAAATATAATTTCCAAAACATGAAAAGTAGGTAATAATTAGACCCAACTGCAAGAGTTGTCAATGTAATTTATCCTTAAAAAAAATAAATAAATAAAAAATACAAATCAATTTTTAATCAAATTTTCAGAACTCCAGTGACTGGTTTCGCTCACTTGTTATTACTAGTACTCCTACTTCTGAATCAAAAGTCAACTGAGCAGCATAATGGCAGAATTGCACGCACCGGAACGTGGCCCAATTAACGCCGCCACAACCTCACCGGCGACAACCGCCACAACGACCATAGTACCAGTTTCGGCCGACAATAACAACAACACCACCAACAACCTCCGCCCAACTTTAGCTACAAAGCGGCAGCGCCGGCCAAGTGTCCGGCTAGGCGAGATCGGCGATCAACCGGCGACTATCTCCTACGACTCTCACTCTCGTCGACCCAAGCCCTGGAGGTTCCACAAAGACCCTGGTCTAGCCGGTAAATCCTCCAAGACTCGACCCTTGACCAACCTCGTTAACAATGGAGGCTCCGATTACTACGAAACCCTTGAGACCGAGGAGGACAATCTCGATTTCGGAAACCGCAAGCCAAAATCGAAGATGTCCAATCGGAGAGTAGTGAGAACGAATTGGACTGTATCATCCAAGATCGATTATAACGGAGCTGAAGGCGACAGTAGAGAAGACAATAATAATATTAATAATAACATTGATGATGATGATGAGTTGAGGGATTTCGAGCCGGAGAGTCCTTTGAAAGAACAGAGTCCCGTTCACTCGATCGACAATGTTGGGTTCGATTCCTCCTGGCACGGCCATCGGAGGACGGCTAGGGCTAGGGTTTGTCAGACCGATTCAATGCCAGACTCTGATTCTCGGGGGTATCGGAAATGCGGGGGGACGAGTAGAGATGGGGTCAGGAATTGGCTTATTGGATTGGGTCTAGGCCGTTACGCCCCTGTTTTCGAGATACATGAGGTTGATGATCAAGTTTTGCCCATGTTGACATTGGAGGACCTCAAGGATATGGGGATTAATGCCGTTGGTTCCAGGAGGAAAATTCACTCTGCAATTCAAAAGCTTGGCAAGGGCTTTTCCTGAGTTTTCCCCACAAACTTACAATGCTTCTACTACTACTTTTTTTTGTCTTCTTCAATCTTCTATAGTTATTGCTATTTTTGGATTTGGATTTGGATTTGGAATTGAATTTTTGTTTTAATTATCTTTCCTTTTGCTCTCACACTTTCTTAATTCTACTTGTTTGTGACATTAACATAGAAGAATTAACGCATCTAGATTGAGTGAGACACACTTTGTGGAATTAATGCTTCGTATATTCAAAACATTAATAAAATTCGACCTTAGTCAATTTTCCATTAGTTATTAAGTGTTTGTTCATTTATTATTGAATGTTTTCCTTTATTAGATTATAGTAAGTAGATCCTATATTAGCTTGGATTACACAGATTCCTGAGTTTCTGAGTCATCAGCCTGTGCTGCTATGTAATTGTTGGCATGCTTCTCCTCAAATTCTATCAAAAACTGCCAATGTCTTCTACGTTGAGCCCAATTGTGAACTAGTTATCCCCATTACAACAAATCCTTTTTTTTTTTGGGCCTCACAAAACATTGTTTAATTGTTTTACATATGGCGTGCTTCCCATATGATATGTGTGCACTTCCCATAGATTGCAGATTTTTATAGACAGCCAAGGATCAAAAGAAGACGGCTATCAACTTTTTTTTTATTTTTATTTTTATTTTTTTTTTTTGTCGTACATTAAGTTTTGGGGGGGTGTTCTTTGATGTTATTGTAGGACTACTCAATCCTAGTACCTGTTTAGTATTGATTGGTTAAAAAAAATGAAAGAGTTATCTGTTTGGCGTTGGTTTTCTAGTTCCTAGTATGTTGACAGATTGACAGCTCTTAAAAACAAGGCATAAACATAATCTTCCTGAATTTTATTGAATAGATTGCAATTGTTATTATTTCATTGAGCAAGTTGATGGAGGTATGAAGATATGAGAAGTTGTATTGAGACTTGGAAACAATTCTTTGTATAAGATTGTATCAGCAATTCAATTACAAGTGTGGTATTGCAGCTTGTTTTTGGTGTATATGAGCAACTAGTGAAACACTTGGGACGTCTAAGCGAAGTAGGTGGTCTACCCGTGGGGAACTTGCATACTAGATCATTTTGCTGCTCAGTTGTATGGTATGTGTTGGAATGCTTGAATATCTTCCGGCGTAAGCTTTTTTATTTTTGGAAATTTGAATTCTCATACTACTTTAGTTGTAACTGTTTTAACTTGTACTTTTTTGTGTACATAGATGTCTGCTTTTGCTTATTTGTTAAGATGGTTGAGGTCTTTTTTACTTGGCCTCCAAGACATGCAACTCATAAAACCTTATGAAAGGTTACCCAAATTGATTTTTACATAGTATTGAACCTCGCTCCTTTCAACTTAGTAGTGCAGTGGTGCAAACTATGATACTACATATCAATGCTTAACTTCTAGATACTGACTTAGCTTACTGGTTATCATATCTGTCTCACCTGTTTTTTCATAGTTGTGTTCAATTATAAAAGGTTAGAGATTCTCATTTGCCTTGGAGAGCAACGTCTTTTATGTTATCCCAGTGTGATGGATGTATAAATTCTCTCTCTCCATGTATTATGGTTTTCGCAAGTTTGCAACTAACTACTGCAGCTTGTTGGGTTGTGCACTGCTACCTGTTACATTGCGATTTCAGGTTGGATAAAGAGCTGTGTTTGCGTAGACTTTGGGTGTTTCTATGACTTTCAGCTTCCAAAGCACCGGTCCTTTCCCACCGCACGTTTAGTTGCGCCCAGAGGTTGGGAAGGAAGAAAGCTGAATAATCAGTTGAAGTTGAAGTTTTGGGAGTAAATTTGCTATTGCAGTGTCTACCTCTCTAGGAATTGCTACAATTTTGTAATTGAGACTTCATATACCCACCCAGCGTGATAGATTTTTCGATTTCTCATTTGATGTTGTAGTGGATTTGTCTTTGAGCTATGAAACGTGATTTGGTTGATCTCACGGTAAATATAAGTCAAAATCTGTAAGATTATGAGAATCAAATTTGTTTCCTTGGCATGTCAAATCGCATTGACTGTTTAAGGATAATTTTTTTGACATAATTTAGCATATGATCCTGCTCAAACTGGATATGAGAAAGGCCCCATTAAAGTGGTTCCACTGAGATAAAAATGATTGTTTTGCTTAACACAGATTATTTGTCTTTGCCATTCATTCTAATGATATAGATTTACCATTTGACCCGAAATATTAATATGATTTTTCCCCCTGCTTATTGATTTAAAAAATAAAAATAAAAATGAAGTCTTTTTGTCTAGCCCTTAGGGTACACCTGTTAAGAAGTTTCAAAAAAATTGTAAAATGTATAAAAATTAAGTGCATTAAAGATTGTATATTAAAGTTACAAATTATATTTGCATCAGAGAATGAATCTAAGAGAGTAAATAGAAAATAAAAAGGCATAAATCAAAGAAATTCAAGACCAAAAAAAAAAAAAACTGGGGAAACTGAATTACAAAGTAGTGTCAACCAAAAGAAAAATAATAAATACCAAGCCCCTACGGTTTGCTAGCACATTTTTGGCTATGTTATGAAACCCCAAAAATCAAATATATCATGATTTTGAGGTATATCTCCAATAAGAGAACTAAAGGGAAAAAACAAAATAAATAACAAAACCCACTAGCAAAGAGGTGGGAAGAAAAGAAAAGAAAAGGAAACAGGGTTTCATAATTTAACAATGATACAGCATGTGAATTGAAATTGGATTAAATAATAATTATTCTTTTTATCTCCATTTAATTAGTTAAGCACTCCTAGCATAGTGTAGCACCATGACATGATCTGTAGTTGAAGAAGAAGAGTCTGCAAGCAAAGTCACAGCATCCCTTGGACTCCTCCATATGCTATCTCTTACGTGTTGCAATGTCAAGAATGGTAGAAGCTCTTGCCCTCTACATGTTATCTCTATCTGCTGCCATCAATTTCAGAAATTTTATTTGGTTGTTACAATTTACATAATTAAGAAAAAAAAGTATATCCCTACGAGTTTTGTAATAATTAAAAACAACTAATAACATTTATGTCTGGTATATCATTACATTAATAAAATTGATGCATTTACACAATATGTGATAAAAATTGGAATGTTATCTCATTCGGTATATAACCACCTTTGAATTAAAAGGCTAGTAAAAAGATTTTAAAAAACTCAAGAGTCATGACTCCACTTGACCTATACATAACTTAGTCCTTGTTTATATAAACACTTAATTTATTTATTTTCTTTACAACTGGTATTTTTTTATTTTTTTTACTTTTTATTTTTATTTTTAACAATCATAAGAATAAGGAAACGAAAAGTTGAATTACACATTAAGACAAACTCGAACTCAAACATTACAACCGATATAAGCACCTTATTACTTTACTTTTTACTAATTGATGTTTAAAAAAAATAATAATTCTCATTATAAAAAGACACTTTATTCACCACATCAATCTTGGTCTTATGTACACACTTGAATGACCAATTAAAGTTCATCACTGCAGATGTTATATATATATATATATAGAGAGAGAGAGAGAGAGAGAGAGAGAGGGGACAGGCAAGTGGCCATCACACTTAGAAGTCAATTATATGGACAAAGGGGCAAAAAGAAGGGGTTAAGAACTTAAAAATCAAAATGATAGAAGTCATAGAGCATGTTGATAAAAATATCTTGCGCAACTACAGAACCTAGACGACCATACAGATCATTTTAAAATGTTTAAATATAATTATGTATGGAGGTATCACTAAGATATGTTTTGGACTACCAGTTAATCATAAACATTGAATAAAAAGCAAGCTAATTTTTACGTTGAGAAAAAATATAGTGTGGTTTCAGTTTTCTAAAAGTTAAGTTTTTTTTTTTTAATATTTTTTAAATTTTAAGTAATTTTTTTACTTTTTTAGATAAATCTTATTTAGATATATTTAAATAGTAAATTATTTGTGAAAAAATATTTTAAAAAATTAATAAATACACAAAAATACGAAACATGTACCTAGAGAAATTATTTTCGTATTTTTTTTTATATGTTTTGGTATGTAGTGTATTTTTTAAATATTTTTTTTTTATAAATATTATACTTTTTAAGTGTATTTATGTTAGGTGTGTCTAAAAATTAAAAAAAATTACTTAAAATATTAAAAAAATTCATTAAAAATATTAAAATACAAAAAATAAAAAAGTAGAATTTTCTAAAAATTGGAACCAAACAAGCTGAGCATCGCCAACGGTGCATTAATTTTTTATTATCAAATTTGAGTAAAAAATTGAGTAAAAGCTTTCTTTGATATTAAGTGCTCCAAAAGAGGATTTTGAAGTTTCATTAGAATACCGGTCGACCGGACAAACGACCTGGCGGATATCTGGATGGTCGACCGGCCAGTGTAAATATATATATTGAGAGGGTGATTTTATAATATGGCTGTGGGCCGTGGTAGTGGCCGGACAGAGATTGGTTCGAGCTGGGCTAGGCGTTCCAGGGGAAGTTTGCTCGGCTGAAGTCCACGCCCGCTTCGGCCGAGATGATTCTCTGCCTGACCGGTTCACATTGTTCGCTCATTTAGGTCGGCGAGTAAGATCCTCCATAGACCGGCCCAACCGAGTAGGAGCTCGATCATAATGGTGGGCTACTGAGCTCGGTCATAATGGAGCTCGGCCGGGAGCACTGTACGTCTTGTAAAGTAATACGGTAGTAGGAGGCCAGGGTAGCGCTGTCGGGTTATCCGTTCGCGCCAATGCCATTCGGCGGTTTGGTTAGGTGATGTTTTGCTGAATTTGCGCTGACACATGGGGGAGCAGGCCCACGTGTCAGAAGGCGAATAGATGCAGATGAACGCGCATAAGGTATATAAGTATGACTGCGCCCCTCCTACCAAGGATGGAACATCTTCTGGTGAGAGAAACACTAACACATTGTCTTCTCTCTCTTCTCTCTCTCTGAGTGTGTGCTGACTTGATTGTCGGAGGGGTTTTCCGGCAACCCACCGCCAAGTAGCTCACCTTTGTTGTGTTCGCAGGTCGAACAGAGAAAGGCGCAGCTTGGACACGAGGAGTACGAGTGGTAACGGATATTTGCTCCTCGTACAATTGGCGCCGTCTGTGGAAATTCTACAATTCCACTCCGGCTTACCCGTAGTCCAACGGCCAAGCTAAAGCATCGAACAAGACCATTCTAGATGAGTTGAAGAAGAGGCATGAGAAGGCCAAAGGAAAATGGGCCGAAGAACTCCCTAGTGTCCTCTGGGCATATCGGACGACCTCGAGACACTCGACCGGAGAGACCCTTTTTGCGCTGGCGTATGGCATGGAGGCTGTCATTCCATTGGAGATCGGCATGCCCACCATCCATAACGAAAATTTTGAGCCCGAGCTGAACTCTGAAGCCATCGCCCTAGAATTGGACCTAGCTGACGAGCGCCGAGAAAATGCGCTAATCCACGTGGTCGTATATCAACAAGAATTGTCCAGAAAATACAGCAAAACAGTGCACCCCAAACCGTTTAAAGTCGGGGATTGGGTTTAAGGAAGGTGATGGGCAATACACTGGTGTCGGGCGAAGGCAAGCTAGAGGCAAACTGAGAAGGGCCATACAGGATAATCGGTCTGGCGGGCAAGGGAGCATACCACCTAGAGGATTTGGATGGCAAGAGCGTACTCCGGCCATAGAATGAGGCCAACCTCAAGCTCTACTATTTTTAGTCTTTGTCTTTTGATTGTAATTTTTTGTAAAGGGCCAAGTTTTCCCCTGTCTTCCAATGTAATCCTATCAGTCAATATGTGAATCTATGATTGCAATATGCATTAGAAACGAATTATTTTGTGCAGCATGTTGTAATTTATGGACAGTAGTGCACCAGGGGCAGCTACCTTTACGGTTGAGATGATTTATCTCAGCTAGAGGAGTTGATGATTTGTTCAACTCCAGCATTTTGACCGAGATGTTTTATCTCGGCTAATTGAGTTGATGATTTGTTCAACTCCAGCGTTTTGATTGAGATGTTTTATCTCGGCTAATGGAGTTGATGATTTGTTCAACTCCAGCGTTTTGATTGAGATGTTTTATCTCGGCTAGTGGAGTTGATGATTTGTTCAACTCCAGCGTTTTTACCGAGATTTTTTATCTCGGCTAATTGAGTTAATGATTTGTTCAACTCCAGCATTTTTGCTAAGATGTTTTACCTCGGCTAATTGAGTTGATGATTTGTTCAACTCCAGTATTTTTGCCGAGATGTTTTATCTCGGCTAATTGAGTTGATGATTTGTTCAACTCCAGCGTTTTGATAGAGATGTTTTATCTCGGCTAATTGAGTTAATAATTTGTTCAACTCCAGCGTTTTGACTGAGATGTTTTATCTCGGCTAATGGAGTTGATGATTTGTTCAACTCCAGCGTTTTTATCGAGATGTTTTATCTCGGCTAATTGAGTCGATGATTTGTTCAACTCCAGCATTTTTGCCGAGATGTTTTATCTCGGCTAATTGAGTTGATGATTTGTTCAACTCCAGCGTTTTGACCGAAATGTTTTATCTCAGCTAATTGAGTTGATGATTTGCTCAACTCTAGTATTTTGACCGAGATGTTTTATCTCGGCTAATTGAGTTGATGATTTGTTCAACTCCAGCGTTTTTTTACCAAGATGTTTTTATCTCGGCTAATTGAGTTGATGATTTGTTCAACTCCAGCGTTTTTACCGAGATGTTTTATCTCGGCTAATGGAGTTGATGATTTGTTTAACTCCAGCGTTTTTGCCGAGATGTTTTATCTCGGCTAATGGGGTTGATGGGTTGTTCGACTCCAGCATTTTTGTCGAAGAAATGAAGAGTTCAGGATTTTGACCGAGATGCTTCTCTCGCCGGGTAGAACTAGTACGGTTGCAAAATTAACAACAGCAAAACATTGCAAGAGTATAAGCAAAATGAGAACTTTTCATTGATTGGAAAATTTAGTACATGTAGTGGAGCTTGTAGCCCGGTTACAAAAATTTAAACATAAATCAAAAGAGACAAGCCTAAACTAAGCTAACGGGGAGAGATCGGCAAACTCATCCTCGGCTCCTTCTGTCGCGACCTCCAGGTCAACAACAACAGCCTTTTCCTTTTCGTCGAGCTCCTGCTAGCTACCTTCGCCCTCGGCTTTTTTTTTTGCCTCATCTTGCAAAACATTGAAGACATCATTGGCGTAAGGAATCAGGTAGACCAGCAGGAAGGCCGGAGGAGGAGAAGCAAACACCTTAGTCTCTGATCCTTGGCCGAGTTTTTCGCAGGCAGCCTTCCAACCGGACTTGAAATAAATGTCCTTGGTGGCTTCAACCTGCTTGGAGTAGTTGTCCTCGGCCTCCTGGAAACCGAGATTGTTGGCCTCGTCTATGGCGGCCTTCTTCGCTTCTTTTTCAGCTGCGAGTTGGGCTCTCAGCTCGTTCCTTTCTAGCTCGGCCTGGCCGAGCTGGCCAATGAGTCTTGCGTTGTCAGCATTGGCCATTTCGAGCGAAGCCTTAGACCTCCCCAACTCGGTTTCCAGATTCTTGACCTAATTGGTGGCATCGGTCACCTTTTGCCAGAGTTTGTGAATCCGGTCTATCACGAGATGTTGTTTCTGAATGGCCTGTAAGAGAACGTGTTAGAGTTCAGATAAGAGTAATTGTGAAAACACTTAAACAAATTTGAATAAACGTGCGGAGTTCTTACCCGGGTCATAGATTTCACCGAGGACTTCACGAGCCGGGTTTCGGGTACGTGGTCGCTACTAATCACATCACTCGGCAGGAGTAATGCTTTTGTCAGGTCAAAAGTCAGGAGATGTTCTTTATCGCCTTTGATTGAGGCATTGGTCGGGATCTCCTTACCCCAGTGCTTCAATTGTGGCTGCCAAGGGGGCGTTGGCTCAGATGCCTCCGCTGTTTGCTCAGTGCTGAGCTCTGCAA